AGATTTCTCTCCTTCTACTTTCTCCACTCATGGCACACCGAATGGTGCATTGAAAATACAAACAAAGGTACATGTAATAACTGTTGACTTTTGAACGGTTTTTCATGTTTGGCGCGTTTAAAAAATCGTCATCCCCCAATCACTAACTTCCTCTGCATTCTCCCCTAGACACAGTTGCTCCAGATTATCCAACTTACCAAGGCCTGTACATTTTAGTGACTATAGACTATAGGCCTTTGAACAATGAGTGTTACGAGTGACTCGGGCACTGTTTTAGGAATACGGTAACTCCCGTCCAAATTTAACCCTATCCGTACGTCGTGTTTTACTATCGAATCCATACGACGTGGGGAACTCTGTGCCACCACTTTCCAAAGAGGAAATTTACTCGTTATTCCTATCCGTACGCTTTGCATAGCAGTCTGTTAAAATACTTTTTTGAGAAATACTGAAAGTTTCAAAGAGATCTTCGTGCTATAAGTATTCTAAAATGTGAAGAATACAACCCCGGGGGTACAAAATGACCCCAGGGTGTACGGATAGGGTTAATCTCGATGAACAGTGGCTTGCAATGCGTTCTTATAACGGACCGAGGGCTCCTTCCGAAAGTAGCCCTTAACCTTAAAGAGTTTCCCCTCATATAATTACTATTATATCACAACCCTCAACGCTCTAGCCTAGCTGATAATCTCCCCTCACACACACACACACACACACACACACACACACACACACACACACACACACACACACACACACACACACACCTTAGGTGCAGGCAAACACTCACGAGCAAACACAAACAATTATTGTCACCGGCTGACGCTCGCACACACCTTACCCTTTCATTTTCATGCATCATCTTCGTTTAACAATAGTCAGTGGCAAGCTGGTCACACAGCCGCTATTGTTTCCATACAAAAAAAGGTATGACTGAGTCACTAATGCTGACAGAATGTTTCACGCCACCTTGATTGATTTAGATCATTAAGGAGCTACGTTCAAGCGTTGTTTCAACTTTACATGTCAAGGTTAGGGCTGTGTTGAGAACAACCTCCCAATAGGATGATGTACATATGTACAATATCAGCTTTAAAAATTCCGCGCCTGAAAACTCTCCTGCCACCGAAGAAGGAACTACATTGCATTCTAACTAATCTAACCAGCCCCATCAGCGTCAGGTGCCAGATATGAAACAGACATTGGGAACCATGCCTGCTTTGCCATTAATTTATTCTCCTCTTGAAGGCTAAAAAACCCTCTTTGGGGGCCTGGTTATAATATCTGGGGAAGGAGGGGTAGGGGGCTCCCCGGAAAGGGGGGAGAAGAGGGAGGTTCATGGAGAGCCTTTGCTTCTTTCGCTGTCTGTATTTCCCGTGAGGGCAAGATTGTGTTGGTTCAAAAGTCTCAGAAATTGTATTTGTCTTTTTTTTTTTTAGAGTATAAGTTTCAGTGAACGTTCCATGCGGGAACGTGTGCGCCTGATGGACCTGATATTTTAATATTTTTATTATCCAAATCCAAGTCAGCAACATACAACTGAAACAAGTACAGGAATACAAATACCTTGGAAGCTTGTTCACATCAGACGGTAAAATGGACAGGAGATGAATTGAAACATGAGTACAAAAGGCAAATGCAGTCACATACCATTCAGCACCCATCCTCTCCACTCAAAACATCCCAATCTCTCTCTCTCTCTCTCTCTCTCTCTCTC